AACATCCGGAGTATGTATATTAAGGAATAGTCTAAAACGTCCGAAAATCAAGGATATCATTAAGAAGGAACAAAATACAGAAATGTATCATCAATAAAATCGTTTGTGATAACTCTCCCAAAATATGATTGTTTGTTTCTGTTAGCAAACGAACGACGTAATTAACAAGTAAATAAAATATCTGATGGATTTATACATGAGGATGAGGATGGGAAGATCATATCTAGTAGAGGAGTTGGGCCTTGGAAGACTAAGTTTAATTTTTTTAAAACAAATTGAACTTGTAAACCAAACCCCCCCTTGGAGAAGAAGTTAAGGATAAACACAAAGACCTGGCTTCTACAAGCAAAAGTGTGTATATATATATATTCAACAAAAAACCCAGTGGCCAAGCAGACAAACACACACAGCTTTCTAATTTTCTGGGGGAAGAAAGAAGAATGGGTTTCATAAGAAGTTACTTCTCCTTCATCTTCGGAACCTTCTGCGGGATTTATATAGCGCAGAGCTACAACGTTCCAAACGTTGAGAGAATGGCTCAAGCTGGCTATTCCATGGCCAAGCAGATGGAAGAGAGATACCGCAAGGCAAAGACCAAGCAGCCCACACAAGACATCCAAGACTAAAAATGTACCTAGTAGATTAGCTTTCAATTTAACCAATTCTTCTTTCTTTGTATAGTGATTTCCTCTCTTTCTTTCCTTACTTGCAACAACCTTTTTTTTCATTTTCATTTTCTTAGTCAAATCCAATCTCATACCAACCATCTTTACTACATATACTCAAAGTGGGCTTATATCAATAACAAGAAACCTGCCACAAATTCACCCCTTTCTGGTGCTACATCTACACTGATTTTACAGCTTAAAAGGAAACCCAAATAGAAAGAAACACTTCAATTTTAAGAAAATCTAGTCAAAAAATACTTTTTTGTTGCTTTTAAGAAAATGGATTAGAGGACTTTGATGATTAAAAAGGATGATGAATCTAACCAACCCCATAGCGTTTTATTATGTCCGGTTCAAGATGTAGCCAACCAGGCAGCCGAGCAGACCAACCAGCACCATCAACAGCAACGAGTGTCCACCCGCCTGCTTCTTGCTTGATTCTTTCCTCAGCATTTCCTATATCCACAAAAAAATTTTTTACAAAGATTAAGCAAATGACGACAAGAGAGATCAATTAGTGCGGTTGGAACATGTACCAGTTCGTGTCTGAGCTTCTGACTCTGTTGAATAGCACTAGTCTTCTCCTCCGTCAACTTGGAAATCATGGACCATGCCTGAGCAAACACAATAATGCTTATAGATTGACTAGTACGAGAAGCACACCTGACTAAATGTAGAAGAAGACAAGATTGTAATGTCACCTCTGAAGATTTCTCATTTGTTTCATCTAGCGTTCTTGACACCTGAAACAAGAAGATGAATATTAGTTGCACTCGG